TAGCCAATCTTGTTTGCAGAAGTTGTAGAAGCACATATGTTATTCCTTTTTCCATATATTCTCAAATCTAGTTGTCCGTTTGAAAATGCCTAACAAATTTGTTGGCTATAATTTCCTTTCTCTTATTGCTTAATAAAATGATTCATGTAGCTATTTCAGTCACCCTGATTCTTGTTTAGTATCTTATAGTGGTTTTGCTTATCAGACAGGCCCCACTGTATACTGTAGTAGAACTGTCTTTGAGGATGCAACTCACGAGTTGGTCAGAGATTTCTTCTGGGATGATGAGTTTCGACCTAAATGGGATCCAATGCTTACATATTGTAAGATATTGGAGGAATGCCCTCAGACTGGAACTACGATTGTTCACTGGATTAAAAAGGTTTGTGGAACAAAGGATTTAGGCAATTGTATGCTGATTCCATGCTTTCCTTGTATCTCTTTCTAGTTGAAAATATGAATGATTGTTTTCCACATTGTTTCTCTGCGATGCAGTTCCCTTTTTTCTGCAGTGATCGGGAATATTTAATTGGTCGAAGAATATGGGAGGCTGGAAAAACTTATTATTGTGTGACAAAGGTACTTGTTAAAGCTTATCCTCATTGTTGCTTGCATTATAGCTTTCTTTCATCAATTGCTTCTTTTACTTAGCGAGAGAGGACATTGTGTTGGTCTTGTAAAAACACGGATGGCGATCTGTAATAGCGAGCAATTCCATATTTTTCACCTTAGAGAAGAAAAAAAAACCTAGGGTCATTGTGTTTCGGATATGAGTCAAACATAGGATAGATCTGAGACGTGTTGGATTGAATCTAATTGATCATCAGAAAAGCTAAACCAGTGTAACTGAAAAGAAAGTGGTTTGATTTGATTGGCACACATTGTCGAAGGAGTACAAGAATGGGTCAGGCAGGTTTACTTGAGTTAGATTTGAAAGTTGGAGAACAAAACAAAACCATGAAACCTGGAAGTCAAGACATGATTTTTTCTTTCTTTCTTCTGTAGTATAATTTTGCTCATCTCTACATG